CATCATGACAGCTCCATGGAAATGTTGCCTTTGGGGCCTACAGCTACGCAGAAGGTTTGCGACATCAGGACATCTCTCCAGCTCTGGTCTTCCAGACCCAGGGGCCTGTTGTGCTCAGGCAAGCCCATTCTGGCCGAGTCCCAGCACGCTCCTTCCCCTCATCTGCAAAGCTGCCCCGATTTCATCTGTGCCATCCAGGCACTCTCCCCAGAAGAGCCTTCCCTGTGCCCTGTCCTCAGGAGGAGCTTGTGCCTGGTGGCTGCCTTGCTCTGCGGAGTGAAAGTGACTCTTCTCTGTTTAGGAAGAGCTTGACTGTGTTGCAGACTAGACAGCTCTGTGTTTGCACACAATATTTGCAACCAACTTAAATCTTGTTTATTGCAGCAGCCCTTGCAGTCCTCATAGGACAGTCGCAGAATGAGTTGTCCTCAGTTCTGGCCGCTCCGGCTGCCAAGGAGAGGCACCAGTTCCCACTGCAGGTGTGCACCTTTCCGTAACATCCCACTGGGATCAGCCGCCAGCCTGCAGCTCAGGTGTGGTGCTGCCAGGGGAAAGAGCCATGTCCTGCAGCCTGGCTGCGATGCTGACCAGTAGCTGTGGGCTGCCTCACTGTCAAAAATACAGATTATCAGTGTTTTGCACTGTGTGCTGGAGCCCAAATTTGTTGTTATTCACAAGGAAGGAAGAAGCCATTGTGTTCAGAGAAGTGAAAGCCTGCGTGATGTTCTCTGCTATTTTTGAAAATGTTTTCTAAAAGTAAAGCGTTTTCTTAAAAACACAAGCCCCACACTGGTCACTACTGCCCAAACAGGGGTTGTTCTGTCCCCTGTGGAGATGCTGGCTGCAGACAGCCCCAGACATCTCCTCATTTCATGCCTTTTTCTTTAATGTGAGAAAATTCAAAGTCATGCCGTGTCAAACAGATTTTTTGGATCCCCTGACATTTGTTTCTCTCCCTTATTACAGTAACGGCTCAAGAGCTCTACATTAAGCACAGGCTGAGGGCATCTCCAAAACGAGAGGCCACCTTTGGCTCTAAGGAACAATCTCCTGAGTCTGGCACTGGTTTCCTTGGCCAGGAGAGAGGAGATGGTTCGGTCAGTTCTGGACTGCTCTGAGCCATACTACCCAGTGCTGTGTCATTGGAAAAGCCATCAGGGTTTCTCCAAATTGAAATCTGGGAATCTGTTCCCACACATCGGGGACCGCTGCACTCACTGGCCTCATCTGCAATACATGTACCACCAGTTCCCCACATCCTGGCTCACAGACTTCGCTGCACATATCCTCGTCGAGAGGAACTGGAGGAACCCAGTTCTGGTGAGCGTAGAAGCTCTGCTGCAGTGGTGGTCCTTTAGCTCCCTTGAGACTAATGCTCTTGGGCTGCAGCAAAGGGGGATTGCATCAGGGTGGTGTCTGAGCTGTCAACCCCACTGAGGAGAGGTGGGTGTAGTGTGAGGGTGAGCTGCCACAAGGCAGCTTGGAGCTGGGGGTGTTAGCAGGGGGAAGAGAATCTCATATGTCCAGAGTTGGAGTCCTGGGTCAACCTGTCTCCTTTGCAGCATCAAGACTGGCTGGGTCTTCCCAAAAGCTGCTGCCTTTTTCCAGGAAGCCACTGGGACAGAGATAATGGACAACATCATGGACAGCAAAGGATGCTGTTAATACCTGCTACCAGGGGTGCTAGGCTTTGCTGCTCCAGGGAGACCATCTCCTGAGGTCTTGGGAGCTGCTGAACAGACCATGTGGTGGAAATCATCAGCGTTCTCATCTAATTAACGCTGGCATCTCTTTCTTCCAGGTCTCATACAGCTTCCTAGGTCTCACTGAGTCTTCCTTTTTCTCCAGTCACCACCTGATTTCCAGGAAGACAAAGCTACTGTAACAAACAGCGTACAGTCTTTCTTGCACAAAGAACTAACAATAGCCAAGTAGCGTAAATTTCTAGCATGGAAATACCATGTATGAGACAGGTCATGTTCTGGGGCAGTTTCCTGTTTGTTTAGGGCACAGCCCTCATTCTCTTTGCATATTGCCTTTGAAGGGTCAAGTTGCTTTTAGCCTTCAAGAGCAGTTCTGGCATTAGTCATACATTCCTTCTACCTGCGAGGACCTTGATCCTGTGCACAGCTTGAGTACCTGCCTGTGAACAGCCCTGGCAAAGCTGCAGTGGGTGGGAAATGCTGGAGCTGCTTTCATGTCTCTCATGGGGAAGATGGGATCTGGCCCTTTGGCCCATGGTAACTGTGATTTGGAGCAATAAGCCAAGCTCCTGGCTAATGAATTGCCAGTGAGTAACCAAGGTTAGGGATATGGCATCAGATCGGCCTTCTGAGCATGCGTTGTGCTTTCACCAACATCCAGGCCACACTAGAGCTTGTTCCCCCTTTCTCCACAGCAGGGCCGGTGTTTAAGTAGCAGGATGTCCATCCTGATATGAAACTGTCCTTAGAGCAGAGCAGGAACTGAAGCCAGAGAGCCCCAACTCGAATCTTGACACAGAACTGTCTGGCAGGAGCCACCAAGTCCTTTTGTGGGTGCTGAAGATCAAACCTGGAGCGGTATTAGGTGGCCCAGAGGTTACAGTCCCAGCCCCAGCAGTGCACAGTGCCCTGTGATCGTCCCTCTGACCACACTTGATAGCAGGTGCACAAACCTATGTTTGCTCATGTTTTTTTCCTTGCCCTTGTTTCAGATCAGCCTAAGGGCCTTCCTCACTCATACTGCAGTTGAAGTTATATGGGGGAAAAACCCAAACCTCCACCTAGTATCTACTGCTTTTCTTTGGTGCTGCACCACCCCTTCAGAGAGCCTTTGGGTGCTAAGGGTAACCTCAAGAACCCTCCTTCCAGTCCTCCTAAGGAAGAATGGGGAAGGGCCCGTGGTCTTCACTGGAAGGATATGGTGTTCATGGTAGGCTTTCTTCCTCCTCAGTCTTGGTCTTCTTTGTTTCATTTTTATATGTTTTCTTAGCACAGGCTGTGTTTGCTGGTTCCCAGTTACTCAGTTTTTCTGACCTTTGTTTCCTTGAAAGCTGGTCGTCCCTGACTCACAGGGTTGTACACTCCATTGCTTGAGTGCTGTGATTTGTGTTTATGGACCAGGATTGCTGGTGTCCTCCTCTGCCTGCCCTCTTCCACATCACAATTTAATTTACAGTCTTATACCAGCCAAGGTTTGCCTGGTCCCATGGAGCTGCACTGGGGCTGCCTTCCACCCTCCTGCTGCAGGACTGCCTTGTGCAGATGCCACCTCCAAATCCAGCTGCCCAGCTCACTGGGAGCAAAGGGACATCTCTAAGAGCATCCTGGAGGAGTCCCCTAGCAGGTAAAACACCACCAGCCCAGTCTGTGCAGGAAAAGCAGCTGCGTTACCCTGCCAAAGAGCTGTTTGTGCCTTAAAACGACAACGCTGTGGCAAGTCATGCCTTTAGCAAACAAAGCACTCACCCTCCCACTTAATGTGCATGCTGGAGCCCTTCCTCAGTTTTATCCATCACTGGCAGTAATCCCTTTGCAGAAGCAGCAGAACCTGTTGCTGCAGAGGAGTTTTGAGCATGTGTGGGCAGTGCCATCACTTCCAGCAGCCAAGGCCTCGGGCAATGCCAGTTCCTGGAACAAAAGTTTCCTGTGAGGCTCTGCCCAGCCTGAGAAAACACCGTTTGGGGAAGGGGCCAGAAAACATCCCAGCAGATGCAGCGTGTTCTGTGCTGGTTGAATCAAACAGACTATTTCAAGGTCTTTTTGGCTTGTTTTATAGCCTTGAAATGTTTGGGGGGTTGGTTTTGTTTTGGTTTGGTTTGGGGTTTTTTCTATTACAATATAAGCAAAGGATGAAGTTACAGGTTGGGAGTTTCACCAAAAGTTTTAAAAATCCATCATATGGAAACCTGGGTGTTTTCACTCCTTAGGAATAAAATCCTAACGGGAACTGTTGGAATTTCTCACAGCACAGAGAAGCCAGGTTTCCACCAGTCCTAAGAAAACTCTGGGAAAAAAAAGATTTTGAGGGCAGCCACACTGTCTCAGTCTTGATTTTATCTTCATTTTTCAGTTGTGGGAGTTGACCGGGGAAAATCGGTATGCATTCAGCTGGGATCTGAGATGAAAGAGAAAGTAAAGATGCAGGATGTGACTGCAGTGTTGGTATGTCCGCTTCAAACCTTTGTGCTGGCGCTGGGAAGCCCCCCAGTCTGGCCTGGTTGCCTGCAGATCTGGGGGCCTCGTACTCCTGCTCTCAACATCAGCAAGACCCCGACGGCTGAGACCCTGCCATATACTGAAAGCCAAGGCTGTAGAAGCAAGCACAGGCTGCAGACAGCACACCCAGGGGACAAAGAGCTGCTTGGGGAGGCCACTGGGTCCCTGCTCACCCTTTGCTTTGGTGATGCTCCTGAGAGGCAGCCTGGCATGAGCTTGTAATCCTGATTAGTAAATTCTGCCTCATTTGGCCTGACGACCAAAGCTGCTGTTATAAGATGACCGACAAAAAGGAAGGGAATAGCTGCTTTTGCATTCAGGGTAAATAATGAGCTTAATGTGCATTGGGGAGCTGCAGGCTGGAGGTGGGGAGAGCTTTATGAGCCTAAGGACAATGGCGCCTTAGCACAGGCTCTCAGGCCAAGAGACACATCAGTGGGAGCGGAGGATGGAGCAGTCCCTGAAAGTCCCTGCCTGAATAATTTGCCAAGGAGGCTGGAGCTGCTACGTGTGAGCTAAGAAAAGCTGTTGTAAGTGCAGCTGGGGAATTCCAGGAGCCGTCTAGCTCCGGAGCAGACAGTATTCCCTCCCCTGTCCCACTCTTCCCTCCGCCTCCTGTCGTCATCCGGAGACACGTGAGGGGGAGCTGAATAACTACTGAAACCCGGTCTTGGGGCTTCATAATCCTGGAATGAGCTGCAGCAGCTGTGTTGCTCCAGAGGATGCAATAAGCAGTCAGGAGCAGAATATACTGCCTGCCATCCTTCCCTGCGTGACCTTCCTCCTGCCAACAACGGGAACATGAAGGCTGTTTCTCTCCAGGTCCTGTTTGTGCTGAGGGTCTTGTGCCTGGTGACCCTGGCTGGAGGTGAGCCACAGCCCTGCTTGCCACCCGCCAGGCTCCCCCGGGGAGCAGCCAGGTTCATAAGGGGCTGATGAAGTGTGCGTGGGGGGCAGGGGGAAGGTGATGCTGGATTGGGCTACGGGCACTAAGAAACCTTCATGGACTGTGGGAGACCTCAGAGCAGGATCAGGCTGAGTTTGGGAAGGGGCGGGGGGAGCCTAAGACAGCAATCCTGGCAGCAGGTAAGTCCGAGCAGCCCTGTGATGGCTTTTGTCACTGCTGAGGGTAGGTAGGGAGAGTGTCAGAGAGACTTTCTGTTGATCCGTATTAGAAAAGAAATGTAATGGACTTCTTTTCCCCTTTTTTCATGTCCCCTAGGGACATGCCGTGGGGGCAGAGCTCAGCCTGTCCAAGGGTGGATGCTTGTCCACACAGGCTCCCTGTCCTGAGGATGCTGGTGCTCCCCTCGCTGCGAGGCATGAGGGTGCTGTTGCCTGCAGCTCCAGTGCCTGTGCAGTGTGTGTGTGTGTGTGTGTGTGTGTGTGTGTGTGTGCACAGGTGGGAAACACTCTCCTGTTTGCTTCATGAAGATCTTTACGTGCTCTGGGGTGGTGCTGAGCGGGGCCAGAGGACTGGGCGAAGGTGGGCACACCTCTCCCTCAGCTGGTCTCGGTTAAGTCATGGATGGCACAGATCAGTGATTGCTGCTCAGGGCAGCAGTCAAGCAGGGTGGATTGCCAGGCTGTCAGCTTCTCAGCAGTGCAGGCAAAGCTGGACTTTGTCCAGGGCAAAGGGATGATCTATTCCCACCATGGGAAGCGAGAGAGGCAAAGAGACCTTGAGATCTGTGGTTGCTGCCACCAGATGGGAGATCAGCAAGGGCAGCTAGGGATGGAGCTTCTTCCTCTCCTCGCACCTCTAGGCAGATTCACCAGGGCTGGCCTGAGTAAAGTGGGCAATAGGGATGCTAGGGCAGCTTATCCTGCCCTGGGAACCTGCTGCCTGCTTTGGCACAGCCTGGCTCCGCTTGTCTGCGGCCAAGCATCCATCTCCTCTAAAGTGATTAAATCAGGCTGGCTCTGCAGAAAGGCTGGTGGTGCTCCCTGGCCAGGGTCTCTTGAGGAACCATGCTGAAAAGCACATACAAATGGCTCCCAGAAGCGGTGCCTCAGAGGAGCGGTGGTCCCAGGTGGATAAATGCCCAGATCCCAGGTGTCCCTGAGACCCCTTTGGCAAAGACTCAGATGGAACTCGGGGAGGTGGAGTTGCATGCCCCAGTGGGAGGGTGACCACCAGGGCTGGGCCTGTGGTCCCTGTGACACTTCTCATTGGAAGGTGCTTTCCAAGGTCCTCCATGCTGGGAAGAGCATATCAGGAGTTCAGCTAATTGCAAACCATTTATTTGTGATGCCAATAATTGGAAAATCAGTTAACAGTTACCAGAGAGCCTTTGGGAGCAGTCCCTGCCAAGCACCTCCCCAGCTGTCCACAGGGATGGATCTGGCCCTCTTGTTGCTGTGCCTGTTTCGTGGAACAATGCTTCTGAAAGTGGAGGACATCAGCAGTTTGTCCTCTGATTAATGAGAGTTATTTGGGAAGTCAGTCACCCCTGAGCGGGTATTCTTGACCCTAAAATGCCACAGACTTATTATTGTGTGAATAAAGAATTTTGCTTTAAAGTTACAGAGACCTAGAGATTGAAATGTACTTCTGTAGAGCCACAGGAGGGTTTGCTTGGGTTTGCTTTGTTTGCAACCATAGGTTTCCCCAGTAAATGGATCAAAAAATGCTCATTCTTGCACCTGGTGGCTGGATCATTCCCAAGTGAACGGCATCAAATTCACCAAATTAATTTGGGAATCTGAGACAGCATTTTGTAAGGACTGCCTGATCTAAACCAGACCTCAGCTCCTTTCTTTACAGGGGGCCTCAGATAAATCAGGGCTTGTTGTTCTAAGCCTTGCCCCCTGGGATGTCAGAAACACATTGCCAGGCTGCGCTGTGCAACCACCCCTCGCTTGGCAAACACTTGGTGTTGGAGGCTGGGGGTAGGTGCAGGAACGAAGGGTCCCCAGTGGTGACTGGCTTTGCGCCCTGAAAGGGTCAAGTGGGGTTTATTCTTACACTTTGCAAAAGGAAAACGGTATTTTCTGGTGGAGATGGAAAAGAGATGTTTGGTGAGAAACTGTGCTGTGAAGCTGGGCTGCTGAGTTACCTACAGGAGCAGTGTATCATTCACCAAAAGGTTCTTTCTCTGCACCCTTTCTCTGAGTCCAAGTGGTGTTCAGAGATCACATACCAGCAAAGACAGAGGCAGGGTGCTCGTCTGGAGGAGAACTGCTACACGGGGAAGAAATGTGACTGATCCAGATAAGGAGAGGACAAGCATCCTGCCCTCTGATCTGCACCATCTGCACCAAGAGCCTGGTGGTGATGGTTGCAGCAGGTCTTTTGGGGATGAAGAAATGTGTCTTCTGGGCACTGTACTGACAGAAGTCCTCCGTTGACTCAAAGGGGAGAGGACCCGCAGGTCCAGGTGCTTGCACAAGTGACCTCCAGCCAGTGCTTGCTCATCCTGTAAGGCAAGCTGCAACAGTGTCTCAAGAACCCTGCAATTTTCACAGTGCTTTTTTTTTCAGTTTTCTGAGTATCATTGTTTGGGTGATACAGTCATGGCCTCGATGGGATTTGTCTTCATCTCATTTTAGCAGGGATCAGAAATTTTCATGGCAAGCTTTGGACTCCTTCTCCCCAGAGAAGGGGAAAAAGAAGCTGTGCCAGTTTTTATAGTAGCTAATAAAACCCCAATGTTTAATATGTTGAAAACTTTATTTCAGGGCAACCCAAAGCATCTCTGAAGTGTTCAAGAGAGTGTGGCCGTTTTACATCCCAGATAGCGGTGAAGTGGATAAGGAGCTACCGCAGGACAGAACGCCACTGCCCCAAAGAAGCCATCATGTAAGCATTGCCCCACCACTTGCCCCTCTTGCCGTGCACTCTCTGGCACTGACATAGCATGAGCCTGTTAGCAAATGCCCTTGCTTTGGAGCAAGGAGCAATCTGGAAGCAGAGCAAACGCTGATATTTATTTGAAGGGTGGGTGGGGTTTCTTCTGTAATTTAAAGACCAACAGCCTCCGAGGGAGATCAGGGGTTCACGCACAGAGTGAGACAGGGATAAATGGATGGGGAAAGGGATTGACGGACATACTTGTTGGGAGAACAGGGCAGCAGAAGCACACAGGGTGAGAGCTCACGTTTCTGTGAAAGCACGTGTTTTCTCTGGAGACAGATTCAGGCTTCTGAGCTTGCCTGGAGATGAGAAAAGCTACATTTTTTTTTTTTTCCCTAGGATAATTGTTGTTTTCAAATTACCCTGAAGAGGAGGCATCATCGAGACCACTTTATTGCAGCCAGGACATTGGTCCAAAGTGAACCTGCCGGGCTGACCTTGGAAAGTCTCATTCAGTAAATCAGAGGGTTTTGTCTTCATGTATGCTTGCCCCTGGGCAGCTGGTGCCTGTGGAGCTTCCTGCTCTGGGTGCTGGTGGCAAACACTGTGTCCCAACACCAGGGCAATGCTTTAGAAAGATAAAAACTTCTTAGGGGGAAACCCTTCATACATGACTCACGTTCAGCTGCTCCTCATTCAGTCAGATCTCAGAGCACCTGCCCTTCCTGAAACAAATAATCCATCCAACCCAGTCATGTTTACCACGGGCTTGAGAGAGTCAGTGTTGCTGTCTGTGCGCCTTCCCTGTCGCGCTGATCATTTAAAACAGTGTTTTCTTTATCCAGTAAGTTATCCCTTTTTTTTTCAGATTTATTACTCTGAAGTCCATGGAGATTTGTGCAGATCCGAAGGCAGAGTGGGTTAAGAAGATCATACAGAAACTAGACAAGGAAAAGGCCACAGCCTCCCTGCTTCCACCTGATGCTGACTCAGCAGTGGCACCAGAAGAGCCCGGTGTTTTTCAGAAACATGTTGGTCTTACAGTAACAGCTCCATCTCAAGCCACTGCTCCAACTAGTTTCTTCCAAGGGACTGGCACAACACTTTTGGAGAGAATACATGTTCCTGCTGCCCAGACGGAGGCATCCAACAAGTCCCCACCAGCCACACAGGACACCACCCAGCTCCCTGCAGGATCGTCCCCCATGATACGGGAAGTTGCTGCCCACTCTGAAGTCACTTCACAACCAAACAGAGATTCCTTAATATCTCCTGCACCTTCAACAACTTTTGCAGCAGGCATGGTCTCCAGCCAGCCCACCCCATATCCCATGTCTCTTGTGCATGGCTTTGACAATGCTGTAGGATTTGCAGAAGAACTTGTAGGACATACTGCGAACATTATGGCTGCTGTTCAAGACACGTCTTCTCCTAGCTCAAATTCAGACCTTGTGGCCATTACTAAAGGATCAGACCATCCTCTACTTTCTACAAATAAATCCCGAGAGCCTACAAGTGCAAGAGCCAATGCACCAGACACTGCTTCTAGCAGTCTTAGTTCAGATCTTCCTTCCATCCTGGACAGCATGGAGATCACCACAGTCCCAGCCACACCAGTTCCACCAGAGACTACTTCAGTTTCTACTCTAAACTCCACTGCCATAGACAAAGGCCCTTCTGTTGCTACCAACAAGGTTGTCAGTTCCTCTGCAGAAGCTTTTGGTACTAGAACATTTGATTATTCATCGCCTGTAGGAAAGCAAGAGCCTTCAGATACGTTAGTTTTGACTAGTCAGGCATTCTCAGACCAAGCCAGAGTGCAGATGCCTACAGAAAGACCGAGCGATCTGCCTCTTCCCAGCTTCTTATCAAGATCTCAAATGCACTTTGTCATCCCAGTTGCTGTGGTAGGTGGTCTGATGGTTCTCAGTGTTGCTGTTGTATGGCTGTATCTAAAATTTGGAGTCAAAACAGAAGAAATGTCAAGAGAAATAGTACAGGGCTTGCTCTACCGGAAGCAGGGACATCAGAACAATGTCTGTCTAATGGAAGTAATCTGAATGCTTTATGGCGTGGACATTTTTGGCCTAAACTATGTGTGTTGCTGCAAGAAAGCTAAGTTTATGCTGAACTGGTGACCAGTAGGTGACCAGTAGGAAGCAAGGCAGGGAATAAAAATACCAGAGAAAACAGAACTTTTTGCAGAGTAGAATATCCAAAAATATATCTAATTTGTCACTGACCAATGACGATATCTTGGAAATAAATGAGACACTTTTTTTCTTCTGCCACTCTTACGTACAAAAGCTGTTGCTTCTCTAGAGCTGCTTGGTGGCTCTTTGCCAGGTGGTGGACAGAAGCAAGTTTCCAAATTGCTGTTGGGAATTTTTCTGCATTTCATCATGGTCCAGTCGAGAAGCCACCCACTCACCCACGCTGCAGGACTCAGGCTCAGCCACTTTTGGCAAACTTAACACCAGGATTGCATAATCTGCACTCTCTGCTGCTTCTTTCTTTGCACTTCAGGTCACTTCTCTGTCAGACCAAGACTGATGCTGGTGGTCAGTTGGGAGCTGGCACTCCTTGAGCTGATCAAATACCCCATTTACTCTTACTGGAGACATAAGGGGTGGTCTAGCTTTTCAGACAGAGGTGACAAAAACTGCATCTGATTAGAGGACTGAAGGTCAGTGCCACAGATTTCACATTCAGAGGAGCTGGCAACCCGCAATCAATCACCTCCTTGAAATCAGGCCACCTTTCTCTCCAGCAGTCATGGGCACTTCTTCTTGCAGATTTAGTCTGAGACCTGGTTCTTGGCAAATCAACTGCAATAAAACCCTTCTGCCAGCTGATGCGCCCTGTGTCCATCTGCATCCAGCACCAGGGCAGGATAATATGTCTAAGCCTGTGCAAATGGGAGGAAACAAGAAGTCACCCAGTAATTTTGCTATTCCTATGATAACATTGGAGGGCTTTTGCTGTTCTTTGCAAGCACAAAACCCAGGAAAGACTTTCTTGGAGGACTTAAATGCAATCTGGATTTGGTCGTACAGGAATTACTCCACCACAGTAGACATACCATCCTTCTGGTCCCATATTCTCTCTAGAAATAAGCACATCTGCTGATCCACAAAAAAGCAAAAAATGCCTGGTCATGGTCCTACACTTCAGCTGCATTTTAGTTTTTCTTTTTTTTTTTTGGATAGCACTGGTTACCAGGCTGTTAAAGCACCATAACAGCACCAGGCTTTTTTTAAACACAAATTGGTTTTAATGTCTGCATATCTAGACATTGCTGTATGTAAGCCTTATCTTTTATCTGTGATCAGTTAAACATTGACTTCAGTATGACTTCTGCTGGAGCATGCAAAGATCTTCACGATACAATGCTTTGTAGGTAGAGACACATAGCAAGGGTCAGATCCTCCTCTAACCAACCTCAGTGGATCAGATCCAAAGTATAAATACGCATGTAGAAAAAAAGAAAGCAAAACCACATAATAAGCAAGATAATCAAAGCAAAAAAGGCAGGCCAGTCAGAGCTAGAGGAAGGCAGCCTGTTAGATCCATCAGATTGCACCTTCAGGGCATCCATCCAGCCCTGGATGTGGAGAGGATAGGCCACAACAGTTTTTGTTTTCTGCCATTATTCAATACCTTATTTCTACTTTTTATTGGCTTGAGGAAGGGGAGCCAGGGATTCACCTTGGGCTTTGCAAGTACAGAGTGCAAAATCAGATTAACTGTAATCAGGCATTTGGGGTGAAACTCTTCCTTGTGCAGCAGCATGCTCATGCAGCCCAGCTATGTAACACTGGCTGGGGTTGATTTGCCTGGAGGGTAAATCAGGAACCATCAGTGCTGCCTCCGCATCTGCCCCGCTCATGCACGGCTGGGGTTTGTGGCCTTGCAGTTCATGAGGTGGTGTGCTATGATATTATTTTTGTATGAAACACTAGAGTTATTATTTTTGTAGTAAAGTTTTGTAGCCATTTGAATGTATGTAATGTCCTGTCCTTGTTACCAGAGCATCGTAGGGTCGAGACCTTTCTGGAAAACACTGTGCCCTGGCTATTTTCTTGCTGGTCTTGGATGGCTTACGCATGTTCCTGGGAGCTGGGTCACTCTCCAGGCACTACAGAAAATGGAGTGGACACTTGTCTTGTCTGGCTATGTGTGAAGTCCTTGGCTTGGAGCAATGCTGGGGAGATGAATGTGCACCAGGCAGATCTGATCACTTTGAGTCCCACTATAGTATTTGTAAAGACACTGGTTTCAGCTCCACGTCTGTGTCACATGGTCTTCCAGCAGCGATGGTCATCCTGGCACTCATCAGGAGGAGCTGCTCCTCCAGCCTGGCTCCATCCTTGTGCTCGCCTTGCTTCCCTCTCCTGTTTCCAGGCTGTTAGCAGGCAGGGCGCTGGCACGCCTCATGGTGGGCAGTTAAAACCTGGGAGGGGGGAGGGATCGCTGTTCCTCCTTGCTTTATGCTGTGTGATGGGCAGTCTGGGAGGGCACAAGATGAATGTCAGTGCAGAAGGATGGAGCCTATGAGTGTCACTGGTTCCCGGGGCTTAAAATGTCCTTTGCTGTAGAGCACAGCGATGGTCGCAAGCTCTGATTCATTTGTGTATCGAGTATATACGACTGTGTGCGCAAGATACATGTGCTATACCTTTTTTTAGAAGTAGAAGTAACAATGTCCTTATGTTAAAAACTCTTGTCCTCGGGGGATTTAGCCCAAGGCTGGGTGACCAAGCCTGGTCTCTGCAGTGGTGTGGAGATGAATGCATATGATTAAGCACCGTGAGGGGAATTCCCAGCATTGCTGAGAGATGGCAAAGCCGGAGCAGGTGATGCAGCTGGGCTATTGCCCTGTCTCTTCACTGTTTAAGGGCTTCAATCTTGCCAAAAATTTGCAGGGAATATATTTTCTCACAGAGAGTCGCACTTCCCATCCTGCTAAGGCAATACTGAAAAGCCAGGTTTTTGCTTTGTTGAAGCAGAGCTACAACCAAACAGCAACCCACAGAAAGCAAATGTTACGCTCCAAGTCTGTTCTGTAAGGGGCCAAGGGCTGAGCTAGGACCTCTCCCACCCCAGCCAGGGCTTGGGCTGCCCTTGTGTGCTCCTCTCAGATGTTGGGGAGGAGGTGGGGGGGAGGGGGGGAAGGCAACGCAATACAAGAGTCAGTGCCCAGGGACTTGCCTGGCGTGGGGAGCTGGAAAGAGCAAGAGGGTCAGGGATGAGCATCTCCCCTGCATCCCAGGAGCCCTCGTCCCAGCCATGTCCCAGCCCCACGCAGCGCGGCCGCCCTGCCCCATGCTCTGTCACCACCAGTGTGCTGGGAGGATGGTGATGCCTGTGAAAATTTCCCCTAGATGAATCACCAGGGCCAGAAAGGTCATTTTGGGGATAAGAAGCTCTGTGGAAAGGAAAGCACTTTTTTTCTTGTCTTTTCTCCTCTCTGTTGTGGGGAGGGGGTGGGCGAGGGAGGTGGAGGCTGTGTAAACAAGTCAGTTCCGACAGCGATGAATCATTTCCGACACGCAGAGCGAGCGCAGGCGCCAACATGGGGCCATTCAGGGGCTGCGGCTCCAGAGCACTGAGAGAGCTTTTGGATGCCAGGTCCTTCGTCTGGCTGGTGGCACACACTCACTGGCTTTGCTGTTGCTCCCTGGCTTCTCTGTGTTGGACAGAGCAGGGAAAGACTTTGTGTGAAGGATATCCAACCGTGCACAGTCCCGTGCTCCTCCTGAAGGTCCATGGGCTGCCTCAGGTGCAGGACTTGATCCAGGAGACAACTAATGCCAAGACTGTCGTGCTCAGGTGGAACGAGGCTTGTCTTCTACACCTGTTGTGCAAGACACATGCTTCTGCCTCAAGGTTCCCCTCCAGCCACAGGAGACAGCGGGGCCACGGTCATGGTGTGCCCCTTCTAATTCTGTGCTGACCCACATCTTTGGTTTTCAACTCCACATCAGTGCAAACCCTCTCCACCACTTCCTTAGCCAGCTGTTTTGATTGACCTTATGAGGAGTCACTGGGACGCCACACAGGCTCACCTCCATGCCTTCACACCCCCACGGGATCCAGCAGGTGGCATGGTGGCAGGCCTTGAGGGCACTTACTGGCCTTAATCACCCTGACCCGCCTCACCTGTGGATCACTCCCCACACTCTGTCCCCTCCACCTCTGCCCAAGGCCCAGGCACTCCATTTAAGCTCAGGCTTGAACCTCTAGTCCCTGCTTTGGATGTGTTGTAAGAGTGCTGGTCTGACGGCGTGGCTCTGGCCCTGTCTCTTGAATAGACCTTGGACCTATGCTGTAGATATCCTGTCTCCTGGCTGGCTGGGCCCTTTGGTGTTATAGCCCTGCCTCTGTCCCCATCTCCTGCTGCTGCTGAATGGACGCCTCCCAAACGGATCCTGGATCTGGTTCCTTACTTTGGTGTGTCTGGGATGGTCGATGGACCCTGTTACCAGCACCTGGCTCTGCCCCCCATGCTCAGACCCCGTGGGACCTCCCCTCACTGGTGAGGACACTGCCTGTGCTGGGGTCACCCTTGGCTCCTGGCTTGTCCCCTCTCGCTGCTCCCTGAAGCCTCAACCTGGCAGTGAGACACCTCTGCCGTTGTCTTCTCCAAGCCCTGACTTCTCTCCGGGGTGATGCATGAGGGGCACAGTTACTCCTGTGAAGCAGACACCCTGCAGTCTCTATCCTCTCTGGTTTGAGACTGGGATTGTGACTTATGAAATGTCTGTCCCTGCTCAGCGTGGTGGTTATCCTATGAAGTGTTGCGTAAGCATGCTCGTGCTTAGGGCAGCCTCCAGCCAAGTTAAGGTACCACCACTTTCATAATGCTGGCTTAGCAGAATGCAGGACGTCCCCTTAGCTGCTTTGACCCTCCAGTTGCACAGCCGCAGTTTTCTGCTGTGCAGCTGTGGTTCTTCCATGCTTTGCGTTTGCTTAGCCTCCACTTTCATGAGGGTTGTGTCCCTGTTCATGTCACCGCAAGGGCTGCTCTTGTAGCCAAAGTCCCCCTTTGGGTAAACAC